ATATAAAGATTATGCGTTTTGCGGATTTCTTCCGTGTCCAGATCCATTCTTGGAATGCCAACGTTTCATGAACTTTGCATCTTTATATAGAAAGCACCCGTGGAAACCTCAAGAATATTATTCACATTAATAATAATAGTAATAATAATAATATTAAATATTAAGTAATAAGTAAATTAAAAATAATAATTGATTAAATAATATATATGAAAATTGTAATTGAATAATTATGTATGAAAAATAATATATTGCATGAAAATTATAATTAAATGTAAAGTTGTAATTTAATAATACATGTACACACACACACTTTATTACGAGAATCCTTTATCATATATAATACAAATATAACAGCTACACAATATAGCGTTTCCGAAAAAATTTGATTTAATTTTTTAGTAAAACTTAATTTTATTAATCTTTTGTCATTCTTTGTAGAACATGATGAATCCAAGGCATTGGAGGCATCCGAGCGACATTTTCGAACGCAGCCAATATAAACCCAGAGAGCACTTGGATCAAGGACACAATTTAACTATTGAGTTATCTAAAAAGTATCCGCGGTACTTTGTCATTAGATATATGACCATCAACACACATCTACTGACAAAAAACCGCGGATACTTTTTAGATGACCCAATATAGGTACAGTTGCGACACTGACTTTTGTAATAGTCTGCAATTTTTAGTGCGCATGCGTCAATGGTAGAACCAGGACTCTTATTCTTGAAAAGCAACGTAAATTAGGAAAATACTATAGTCTGCGTTACATATATTATAGCATTTTTCTAGTTTTTCGTATGCAATACTTTTCAAGAATAGCGATCCAGGCTATGTCCACGTTCCAAAATTCATAGCGCTGAAAATCTACAGCCTATGTTACGTGTACTATACAATTTCAGCACTGATAGTAAATTTTAGAACACAAGTAGGAATATGACGGATATATTAGGGGCAGCGCACAATGAAGGAATAGGATAAGAATATTCAAAGAATAAGAATAACTAATCAAAAACGATGCACTATAGAATACATAGTTTCTGATAATACATAGTTTAAATTCTTATTCTATTCCTGTTCCTATTTTCCTATTCCTTCATTGTGCGCAGCCTCTTACAGACAAGGAGATCCAAATCGTTTGTATTACCGACTAAGGACGGTATTCATAATCCGTTCTTATTTCAAGACTATCTTAAGTAAAGTCTTAAGACGCTAATACAGCCCTCTAATTGGTTCGTGACTTCTTAAGACTGTAATTAAGACATAATTAAATCTTGAATGTAAGATTTGACTATGAATATCGCCCTAAATCATAATTTTTGTATAACAATTACTTTTTACTCTTTTACATATTCGAAAATCCTTTTCTAGGATTAAAGTATACGTATTGATGCGTGCTGTGAGGTGAAGTTTATGCTGAGAATGACAAAAAATTTTTTTTAAGATTTCAATTTCGCAATTTTTTGTCGTTTTCGACAAAAATTAATGCGTGCATGGCGTAACCATG